ATGAGCAGATTGGTTTCCCCCAAACCAGACCCCCGCCCACATCAGGCAGCTTGGTCTCTGAGGAGCTTACAATTCCCACCCTCAAGGGAACTACAAATGGCTCCATCTGAATCTCCTACCTACTCCCAGTGACTTGGGTCTGAGACCTTATAAACAGACATATCCTTTCCACCCCGGCACACGCCAGAAATAAAGCAAGTAACCCTAGAGTGGTATGCTCTGTAAAAGATCATTCTAGCCCTGGAATAAGTTGTCAAAAGAAAACCCAAGAAACATGCACCAGTTTGCGACCAGGTCTAGCTATGTCTAGGGTGAAAAAAATTGAACAATTTGCTGCCAGCTGAACCCCAGAATCACCATAATTCCAGTCTAGCTACATAAAATTGTGTCTGCATCACAGAAGAAGGTAGATTATCCCAAGAGAAATCCAGTAACGGGGAACCACAGCTCAGTAACACTAGACCAGAGTATAACATGCTGCAGGGCCACTACATCTTTAATATTGATTGTACGCCTGGCAAACATTTTCATGTGGCCCCCACCAAATGCAATTTTGTCTTCCACTCCCAACAAAATATTAGAGAAGGGAAATGTATTGTCAAATACTACATAGTGCAGTATGTATGAAAAGTGGGGCCGCCATACAACCTGCGAGCAGATGAATTAGAATTGTGGTATGGAAGGGGTGTAACTGCAGTAGGGTGCAGTGATTTTGGAGATTGGGCTCTTTCCCCCCAAAATACCAAGAAAAAAAGTATGAAGTTGGGTGGCAGGGTAAGTAGAAAAGGGTGCTGTGTTCTTAGAGAGAGGGGCTTCTGAGTACTACTAGTGGAGCAGAATGAGATGGGGCAGGGTACATAAGGGGGTACAAGCCAAGTAGGCTTCCCCAGTAAACAAATGGGGGCATGTGGCTGTGGTTACACAGTAAGCGGGTGCAGGGGTTATGGGAGAATGGGATCCCTAAGTACTATGATGGGGCAGTGTATCACAAGTAAATAGGTGTGGCATCCACACTTAAAAGAAGGGAGTAGGGTACCATACTAAAATGGCCGTGGATATACAACAGGGCCTTCCCAATACCGGAAAGTTGCTGGCAATAGGGTGGTAGGAAGGGTGCATAGCATTGGTGCAGCATTATACATTGGGGATGCAAGGGTGCTCTCCTTTGTACAATCAGGGTGCAGTGGTAAAATAGAATGGATCATTATGGGGTTGGAGAAGATGTACATAATATTTTGGATATGTAGTGGACATACAATCTGGGAAAGTATAAAGGTGGGGGCAGTGTAAAATGAGTGGAGTGGTGCAGTATGGTGTAGAGGCAGTATTTATAATGGAGTGGGAGCAGTATGTGTTGGGGACAAATGGACAGAGATGCAGTGCCCCTTTAAAGTGGGTTCACGGAGGGCAGATGAATTGTGTAGTGGTACCTGAGTTTAAACAGCATTGGGAGGGGGCTGGGTGAAAAATTGAGATCAGCAGAGATTTTATAGAGTGGGGGCAGGAGTGAACAGAGAAAGCTGGGGTGACATGGTGAACAGAGAGGGCATCCCGTGTTCTAAGGGGAGGGGGCCCGTTGTGTAAAGTTAGGGGTGCATTTGTTTCTATGGGGTGGGGGGGGCAGGGGGAGCAGTGATCTTTTTAATATATTTTATAAACAATACTTGTGGACCTGAGATTATAAATTCCCATTTCAGTCTTTGGCAGATGACACCAAGCTGTTGCCGGGGAATAACGTCCTTACAGTATGTCTCCAACTTTACAAAGCTGACCTCAATGGCACTGTAATTGAGGGGGGACTATGGTGGCCAATGAGGGTTTACATGTTGATAAATTGTAAGGATCTAGCACTTGAGAATTAAGAAATATGCATCATACATACTAGAGGTTGTACAACTGTTGACATCAATGGTGGTGAATGATCAGGGTAGGGTCAATGGTGGAGAAGGATCTGGGGGGGTCAAAGGAGGAGAAGGATCTGGGTGGGTCCAATGGTGGAGAAGTATCTGTTGGTTAATGGTGGACAGTCAGGATCTGGGGGGGTCAATGGTGGAGAAGGGATCTGGGGGGGTTAAAGTGTGGAGAAAGGATCTGGGGGGGATCAAAGGTGGAGAAGGATCTGGTGGGTATCAATGGTGAGAGAAGGATCTGATGGGGATCAATGGTGGAGAAGGATCTGTGGGGCAAATGTGGAGAGGGATCTGGGGGGGACAATAATGGAGAAGGATCTGGGGGGACAATAATGGAGAAGGATCTGGGTGGGGGGGCAATAAATGGAGAAGGATCTGGGGAGGGGTCGAGGGTGGAGAGGATCTTGGGGGTGGGCACAATGGTGGAGAAGGATCTGGGGGTTCTGGTAGATCACAAACTCAAATATGGCATGCAATGCCAAGCTGGCAGGTTTCTAAAGAGAGCAAAATTCTCTCTTTGTATTGAGGAAGAGGTATAGACTCCCAGAGAGGAGAGAGATATCATTCCCCCCCCCCCCAGTACAAAATCATATAGTAAGAACGCTCATTTGGACTATGCCAGTTTACAGTATTGTGGGCACCAATATCACACAAAAAGAACATTGGGGGAACTGAGAGGAAGTACAGAGCAGGGCAAACTAACCTGATACGAGGCAATAGAGGAGATCAGGCATAGAGGAAAGATTAGAGGACCTGAATGTATATTCTCTAACATTGAAAGAGGAGATGAAGGTGGGATATGATCTCCATGTATAATACATAAGGGGGGGATATGATCTCCATGTATAATACATAAGGGGGATATGATCTCCTTGGTATAATACATAAAGGTGGATATGATCTCCCATGTATAATACATAAGGGGGATATGATCTCCATGTAAAAATACATAAGGGGGATATGATCTCCCCAATGTATAATACATAAGGGGGGATATGATCTCCATGTATAATACATAAGGGGTGATATGATCTCCATGTATAATAACATAAGGTGGGATATGATCTCCATGTATAATACAATAAGGGGCGGATATGATCTCCCATGTATAATACATAAGGGGGATATGATCTCCATGTATAATACATAAGGGGGATATGAACTCAACATGTATAATACATAAGGGGGATATGATCTCCATGTATAATACATAAGGGGGATATGATCTCCATGTATAATACATAAGGGGGGATATGATCTCCATGTATAATACATAAGGGGGATATGATCTCCATGTATAATACATAAGGGGGGATATGATCTCCATGTATAATACATAAGGGGGATATGATCTCCATGTATAATACATAAGGGGGATATGATTCTCCATGTATAATACATAAGGGGGATATATGATCTCCCATGAAATCATCCATGATATATAATACATAAGGGGGGATATGATCTCCATGTATAATACATAAGGGGGGATATGATCTCCATGTATACATAAGGGGATATGATCTCCATGTATAATACATAAGGGGGATATGATCTCCATGTATAATACATAAGGGGGGATATGATCTCCATGTATAATACATAAGGGGGGATATGATCTCCATGTATAATACATAAGGGGGGAGATATGATCTCCATGTATAATACATAAGGGGGATATGATCACCATGTATAATATACATAAGGGGGGATATGATCTCCATGTATAATACATAAGGGGGGATATGATCTCCATGTATAATACATAAGAGGGGATATGATCACCATGTATAATACATAAGGGGGGATATGATCACCTGTATAATACATAAGGGGGGATATGATCTCCATGTATAATACATAAGGGGATATGATCTCCCATGTATAATACATAAGAGGGGGATATGATCACCATGTATAATACATAAGGGGGGATATGATCTCCATGTATAAATTACATAAGGGCGATATGATCACCATTATAATACATAATGGGGGATATGATCACCATGTATAATACATAAGGGGGGATATGATCACCATGTATAATACATAAGGGGGGATATGATCTCCATGTATAATACATAAGGGGGATATGATCTCCATGTATAATACATAAGGGGGATATGATCTCCATGTATAATACATAAGGGGGGATATGATCTCCATGTATAATACATAAGGGGGATATGATCTCCATGTATAATACATAAGGGGGATATGATCTCCATGTATAAATACATAAGGGGGGATATGATCTCCATGTATAATACATAAGGGGGGATATGATCTCCATGTATAATACATAAGGGGGGATATGATCTCCATGTATAATACATAAGAGGGGATATGATCACCATGTATAATACATAAGGGGGGATATGATCACCATGTATAATACATAAGGGGGATATGATCTCCATGTATAATACATAAGGGGGGATATGATCACCATGTATAATACATAAGGGGGGATATGATCTCCATGTATAATACATAAGTATATATCTCCATGTATAATACATAAGGGGGGATATGATCACCATGTATAATACATAAGGGGGGATATGATCACCATGTATAATACATAAGGGGATATGATCACCATGTATAATACATAAGAGGGGATATGATCTCCATGTATAATACATAAGAGGGGATATGATCACCATGTATAATAATACATAAGAGGGGATATGATCTCCATGTATAATACATAAGGGGGGATATTCTTCACAGTGAGAGTTGTGAAAATGTGGAATAGACTCCCTCAAGAGTTGGTTGTGGCCAGCTCAGTGGATTGCTTTAACCTCCCTAGCGGTCTGAATATGTCAGTATTTCTGTGCTCAAAGCAGTTCATTGTTTTCAATTGGAAATATGTTGTTTTTTTTATTGTAGGCCTGTAATTCTTAGGAATAACTCACTGAAATCTGTTTAAACAAGAGTCTAGTAGACATCCCGGGTGCGATAACGTTTAATACATTAAATCATAAATTATAAAAATAATATAATAAATAAATGAAATAATGTAATCAAATCAAACACACAGAACTCTGTCCAAACAATATTATATAGACACTGCATATTGTCCTAGAAAACATCCCGCGTGTGGTATATCCTGAAACACGGGACTGCACAAAGTCCGACATCACAATCAGGACAGTGGAACCTCGTTTCTTTGCGGATTTTTTTTCCACTCTCATCTCGCCGAGAGCAACATACCACGCACATCCTGGTAGGTGCTGCCTTTTTTTGGGTTGGTGGGATGTGGTCTATAAAGTGACGTCCAGTCAGGCGTTCTGGGTTGACAACTCCCACAGCACGTCGCCCGGATCTACCCACAGACATTGATGGCGTTTGGTGTTTCAGGAAGATGGATTCCGCAACTTTCCAGATAAAGTCCGCATGAAGCACAGGGTTGTCACTGTTTTTGCGGAACAGAATGTAGGCATTCCACAAGCACTGTTCTAGAAGATGCCGGAAAATCTTTTTGTAATATTTTTTCTGTTGTTTTCTCATTGCTGGATAGAATGTCATAGCTTGGTCAGCTCTGTCGATACCTCCCATGGTTCTGTTGTAGTCAATAACAACCTGCGGCTTCTGCATGTGTTTCCCACCTTTTGATTGGACCATCACTGTGGAGGCATTGTGAACGGTACTCATCAGGCACACATCCTTCTTATCCCGCCATCTCAGTGCCATCATTTTGCCTTTCTGCCAGGCAACTATTCCTCCAGGCTTCAGTTTGGTTTTTCCAAACATCGATGGAAGGTTGCGCCGGTTAGCCCGAACGGTTCCATAGGCATCCGTTTTGTGCTGCAGAAGAACCTTGTAAAGTTCTGGAGAGGTGTAGAACTTGTCCATTGTTATGCAGTAACCTTGGTTTAGCAGAGGCTCAATCAGTGACAGGACGGAAGATGTTGCCATTCCATAGTTGCTGTACTTTGGATCAACTTTTGTTCTTTTGCCGGTGTAAATAATTGTGTTCCAGATGTAGCCGGTAGAGGATTCGCACAGCAGGTAGGATCTGACACCAAATCGTGCTCTCTTGGATGCGATATATTGTATCCAGCTGAGCCTTCCCTTGTAGGCCATTAGACTTTCGTCTATACAGATGTCTCTCTCTGGCACATAGCTCTGCTGGAAATTCCTGAGAATTATTTGGGAGACTTCCCAAATTTTCTTTAGTTTGGGGGCCGGATGAGTCGATTCGTCAAAATTATCATTGTTTGCAAAGTGCAAAAATTTCATGATGAGTGAAAAGCAGTACTCCGACATGACTGTGCCAAAGAATGGCGTGGCAAGCATTTTGTTGGTGGTCCAGTACCACTTCTGCAGCGGTTTTCCCCACCACTCCTTGCAGAATAATTAGGCCGAGAAACAGCCAAATGTCCTCTTTGGTGACAGGTTCCCACTTTCTGCTTCGTGAAAACCTGCTGTGTGGAGCAGCTAGTTGTTGCGCTGCGTACCTGTTTGTCTCCGTCACGATTATTTCAATAACCTCATCGGTCAGAAACAATTCTAAGTACGCCAAGGGGTTGTCACCTTCAACGTGGACTTTCATACCAGGTGCGCCGGTAAACGGGAATCTTGGTGGCGCTGGAGTATCGCAATCGATAGTGCACCACGTTTGCAGATCACTCACGTCAATCTCAGATTCGGCGCTGTCTTCACTGTCGGTGTCTGAAGACAAATTTCCACATGAGTCACTATCGCTCAATTCAAGTAGCTCCTCACTGTCGCTGTTTGCTAGCTCTTAAAAAACAGCTTTGGCGCTAGCGAGAGGCTTTTTGGAAGCCATGAATGCAAAACTGTTTTTAGTCACAGAAACTGAAAAACTGCACTATGGACATACAGTGAAGAAAATGTGTATTTGCTCCCCTGCTGATTTTGAATGGTTGCCCCTCACACAGAAATGATCGGTCTAAAAATCGAATGTTCGGTGTATTGTAACACTGAGAGACAGAATAGCAACAACAAATTCAGCAGAAATGCGTCTAACAAATGATGACTGATCTGCATGTTCATGAGGGAAATAAGTATTTGATCCCCTTCACAAAACATGACTTAGTACTTGGTGGTAAATCCCTTGTTGGCAATCACAGAGGTCAGATGTTTCCTGTAGTTGGCCCCCAGGTTTGCACACATCTCAGGAGGGATTTTGGCCCACTCCTCTTGGCAGATCCTCTCCAAGTTATTAAGGTTTGGTGGCTGACATTTGGCAACTCGAACTTTCAGCTCCCTCCACAGATTTTCAATCGGATTAAGGTCTGGAGACTGGCTAGGCCACTCCAGGACCTTAATGTGCTCCTTCTTGAGCCACTCCTTTGTTGCCTTGGCCGTGTGTTTTGGGTCATTGTCATGCTGGAACACCCATCCATGACCCATTTTCAATGCCCTGGCTGAGGGAAGAAGGTTCTCACCCAAGATTTGATGGTACATTGCCCCGTCCATCGTCCCTTTGATGCGGTGCAGTTGTCCTATCCCCTTAGCAGAAAAACACCCCCAAAGCAGAATGTTTCCACCATGTTTGACAGTTGGGATGGTGTTCTTGGGGTCATAGGCAGCATTCCTCCTCCTCCAAACACGGCGAGTTGAGTTGATGCCAAAGAGCTGGATTTTGGTCTCATCTGACCACAACACTTTCCACCAGTCATCCTCTGCATCATTCAGATGTTCAGTGGCAAACTTCAGACGGGCCTGGACATGTGCTTTCTTGAGCAGAGGGACCTTGCGGGCACTGCAGGATTTCAATCCTTGTCGGCGTAGTGTGTTACCAATTGTTTTCTTGGTGAATGTGGTCCCAGCTGCCTGGAGATCATTGACAAGATCCTCACGTGTAGTTCTGGGATGATTCCTCACTGTTCTCATGATCATTGACACTCCATGAGGTGAGATCTTGCATGGTGCACCAGACCTAGGGAGACTGACAGTTGTTTTGTGTTTCTTCCATTTGTGAATGATTGCACCAACTGTTGTCACCTTCTCACCAAGCTGCTTGGCAATAGTTTGGTAGCCCAGTCCAGCCTTGTGTAGGTCTACAATCTTGTCCCGACATCCTTGGACAGCTCTTTGGTCTTTGCCATGGTGGAGAGTTTGGAATCTGATTGTTTGATTGCTCCTGTAGACAGGTGTCTTTTATACAGGTAACAAAATGAGATTAGCAGCACTCCCTTTAGGAGACTGCTTCTAATCTCAGCTTGTTACCTGTATGAAAGAGACCTGGTAGCCAGAAATCCTGCTGAATGATAGGGGATCAAATCCTTATTTCCCTCATGAACATGCAGATCAGTCATCATTTGTTAGACATGCATTTCTGCTGAATTTGTTGTTGCTATTCTGTCTCTCAGTGTTACAATACACCAAACATTCCATTTTTAGACCGATCATGTCTTTGTGAGTGGGCAAACATTCAACATCAGCAGGGGATCAAATACGCATTTCCTTCACTGTATCTGAGGTAATGATACAATGTATTCACTTGAGTAACACTTTATGTTTACACAGGTCTAAGTTTTAAATTCCCGCCGGCACAGCGCAAATGTCTCACACTGATCACACAGATCAATGTGAGATAGCCGGTCAGAGCGGATGGCTCGAGAGCGACTGCAGGACCCAGGCGTGGATCGCAGAACCAGGTATGTATTTTGCAGCGACCCAGAGTCTGACTTGGGGTTACCACTTTTGACAGTTAGATTTAACCCTGAGCCAGACTCGGGAAAACCGCTAGGGGGTTAAAAAAAAGTCCTGGATTGTTTCTTGGATACACAGAATATAACATTTATAGGTAAAGTTGATCCAGGGAATATCCGATTGCCTGCAGGAGCAAATTGGATCGTGCTTTGCTGGGTTTTTTTGCCTTCCTCTGGATCAACTGTGGGTATAGGATTATAACTTTTTTTTTAATGGTTGAACTGGATGGACTTTTGTTGTTCTTTCTTCAGCCAGACTAACTATGATCTATGGGGTGGGGGCAGGGTGAACAGTGAAGGGTGCAGTGATCTATGGGGTGGGGTTAGGGTGAACAGTGAGGGCTTCAGTGTTCTATGGGGAGAGGCAGTGTGTATAGTGAGGGGTGCATTGTTCTATGGGGTGGGGAGCAGGGTAAACAGTGAAGGATTCAGTGATCTATGGGTTGGGGGCACGGTGAACAATGAGAGGTGCAGTGATCTATGGGGTGGGGGCAAGATGAATAGTGCGGGCTTTAGTGTTCTATGGGGAGGGGCAGTGTGTATAGTGAAGGGTGCAGTGTTCTATGGGGTGGGGGCAGTGTTCTATGAGGTGTAAACGGGGTGTATAGTGAGGGGTGCAGTGTTCTATGGGGAGGGGGCAGTGTGAACAATGAGGGGTGCAGTGTTCCGTAGAGTAGATCAGTGTGGAATGAGAGGTGCAGTGTTCTGTAGAGTAGATCAGTGTGGAATGAGGGGAGCAGGGAAGATGGGAGGTGCAGGAAGAGGAGATAGCTCTTGGGAGGAGTAAAGGGCAGAGGACAGTGTTAGAGGGGACCACAGACAGCCAGGGATGGTCAGAGGGACCTTGGATCAGGGCTGGAAGGAGCCAGGAATAGAGGGAGGCATCTGGTACTCATGATTTGGGTAAAAGCAGAAACAGGTTTCTTCCTGAAGCACATAGGCTTGGCTAGGGGTGAGTAGGCACCAGGGGAACGGGACACAAGGGAGGGATCCTGGGACAAAGACACAGCCAGCGCCACACTGCCCTTGCACTCTATCTTTATTCACTTCCAATCTGCTGCCACTGCTCCATCCACTGCACTACCCCACTGCCAGCCCTTCTCCATCCACCGATCACCCCCTTCTGATATCACCCAGTACTCTGCAATACGCCCTACTCTGGACCAATCAGTGAGCAGTATGGGTGGAGGAATGGATTTAGTGTTCATGACCCACCTGTGCTGATCTCTGTAGGAGTGTCCTCCTCTATAAATGTCCCCGTTATTCCATCCTCCTCCATAGACTGCTGATCATCCCTCACATACGCTTCTTCTTCTTCTGTTTTAATCTCAACTTTTAGAATATTGAGATCTTCACCCTAAACCAAGAAAAAAATATCTGTAAAATATAAACTCACAGAAAAAACACACATATCTCCTCAAATCTATGTTCTAGATGTTCTGTCCCACCAACCTTGTAATGGTGAGGGACAATGTGACCTTCCTGTTTGGAATACAGAGGACGGGGACATCTCTCTGGTGGGTTCCCATGACTGGATCCATCTGTAGGAAACACACACACTGACTGAATCCATTGTTTCTATGTGTTTATCAGATGATGGGGGATCTAGGTGGATCCTCCGTACTGCTCTCTCCTTTACAATAAAGTCTCCTCTTACCCGGTGATGTGAGGGGCGGCTGATTGTCCATCATGACGTCCTTGTAGAGATCCTTGTGTCCTTCTAAATACTCCCACTCCTCCATGGAGAAATAGACAGTGACATCCTGACACCTTATAGGAACCTGACACACACAATGATACAGTCACCATCCAGACACATCCCTTGTCTGCTACTGGAGAATGTCCCAGAATTCCCGGCTCACCTCTCCTGTCAGCAGCTCCATCATCTTCTTGGTGACTTCTAGAATCTTCTGCATGTTGTGTCTCTCAGGGTTTAGGGAGTCACATGGAGGCACTGTGATGGTCATATGATCACCTGACTTCACAGGAGGAAATCTCTGTATTGAGGAACCGATAAGAATATCATGTTAGACTCCCAGAATCCTCCTCACCTCTCCGGTCAGGTCTGTGTATTATTAATAGAGATAAGAGTGATGTCATGTGACCTCCCAGAATCCTCCTCACCTCTCCAGTCTGGTCTGTGTTTTATTAACAGAGATAAGAGTGATGTCATGTGACCTCCCAGAATCCTCCTCACCTCTCCAGTCTGGTCTGTGTTTTATTAACAGAGATAAGAGTGATGTCATGTGACCTCCCAGAATCCTCCTCACCTCTCCGGTCAGGTCTGTGTTTTATTAATAGAGATAAGAGTGATGTCATGTGACCTCCCAGAATCCTCCTCACCTCTCCGGTCAGGTCTGTTTTATTAACAGAGATAAGAGTGATGTCATGTGACCTCCCAGAATCCTCCTCACCTCTCCGGTCAGCAGGTAGATGATCTCCAGGGTGAGGTTTAGTATCTTCTCAGTCATGTGACTCCGGTCCTCCTCCATCCTCATTGGTGTGGTCATGTGATCTATGGGGGTTGCTCTGTAGATGGATTACATAGAATTATTTGGGTTTTATTAGTTGTACAATATTAGGAAAGGGATAAAAGGGGTTAATAGATGAGCTTCT